TTTGGTTGTTCCATCCTTCGAGTTAATGAAAGTCTGCACGGCAGAAGTCCGGGATGTAACCTAGACAGCCAAAGGCCTGCTCTTAGTTTTCACCAATGAGAGCAATGAGCTATTTAGTCTCTATTTTCCATGTCTATCGGGAAAGATCCTGGTCCATCGCCGGCGGTTGAGGCCGGCATACAAATTCTGAAATGAACAGCACGGTAATACCTGAGACCCTTTACTGAGGCTTTACAGCAGCGATGGGCAAATAGAGCTTTTACTCTGCAGGCGCCTATACAAAATGTATAGAAAGCTTGAAAGAGCTTTGCGCGCGGGCAAGGCGGTGCACATCACTGATTTACAGTTTCAGTATTGGCAGTGACATTTCTATGGCTGCGCCCTGTAAAATGTCCACCAATAGGTTAATGGCCACTGAAACGTTGCAGCGAGATTACTCTGAATAGCAAATTCAATATTTTTTACTACACGCTAAATTTGGTATATTCCTTTAACAGTTATTTTTGTTCTGGTCTTCGAGTTTTTTTTCTAGGCCACATAAATAAAAAGTGAGCTTAAGCTACAACTCGATTTTCAGTACAAATACTTTTGATGTTACCCTTCATCTAGCACCTAAATGTGCCAAGCCGGGGCTCCTAAGTGCAAAAGGCTCCTGGGAGCCACTTTACCCATCTCTGTTCTAGGCAATCTTGCCTTGGGCGCTTCTACTATAAATACCAGATCTAATAGTATGAAATAAAATTTAATGAAATAAATGTAAATAAAATATTTTCATACAATTTGTTGGCCTCCTCTATATCTACATATATAGTTATAACACACGTATATAAACTTGAAGTATATTTAGCATTTGGAAAATGTATATTATTTCAAATTTTATTTAAATAAAATCCTTCAATCTTCTATTTTTAGAGCATCGGGCAACTACCATCTTAAAAGCATAGGCGTCATTTGGTAAGTAATTTTTTATATGAAATATTTTATAACTCACTAACAAAGCGTTTAATGCCATTTTAACTACGAAAAAAATTTATATCTGCTACCTCATCGCCGAAATAATTTTCATAAACATACATAGCAACTGTCCGTCATCCTATAGCCACTGGCAATTGACTGTTTTTGATGGCGCTATCCGCTCTCCCTCATTCAACATTTCTCCGTTTAATCGAAGTGTGTTTGACTGACCATTTTAGTTAGCTTCAGGCTCCTCGAACGCTATTTACATACATATACTTCTCTATATGTAAGAACATAAATTTTCCAATCGAATTTGCATATTATGAAATTGAGGAACTTTCACATAATTGCATACAATATTCAATTTTCAAACTTAACCTAGACAAGTTTTAGGGTAGGTAGGGTATTTGCTGCTCATCTTGCTATGTATTCTTATCACCTCACAAGCATTGGACAAGAATAGTTGGCTTCCTCTGCTGCGCGATTTTCGCTCATTCCTGCCAGGTGAATACAGTTTCAAGTGTCGAGAGGTTGAAGTAGCTCATCGCTGTTCCCTTATTTCTATAAACAACATGTATACACATGTATAGCAGTGCGCTCGATCCTATACGTACATATCCTTGCAGGAAATATATCCAACTATAAGTTAACTTTTTTCTGTATATTTTCTTTAAGGAAGGCTAACTATATTTGTATGGCCGCCAGACATAACTTCAAAATGATAATTCTCATTAATATAAAATTTCGCTCTTCATTTATTTTATCCCAAATTCGAAAAAGTGTTTGTGAAGTACAGAAGAAAAGTGGATGCAAAATAAAATGTGTATGAGGATATTTAAATAGAAATTTGTTTAAAGTGGGTTATTTTGTATCACTTTATAATTTTTTTCTGCAGGGATGTTCATACGCATACATGTAAGTATGTGTAAATGCTTCGATAAATGCAAATTTGAACGTATTTCAATTAAATACCACATTAATTTAATTTCGTCTCAATTTCGTAGTTGTGGCCAGACCAATGAAGAGCTTGACACTATGCAGCGCTTGTAGCCATACATGGCTCGAGCTTGTTACTGCACTCATCAGATAAACTGTCACGAGCCGGTAATATAATTTAACGATTTTTTTTTTGCTGTCGGCAATTTACTCTTCACGCGTTAGTGAATTCGGGTTATGTTTTTTGGCATCGTTGTTAACTGTATTGTAATTAGTTTAAGAGATTTTCAACTAGAAGACAAATTCGGTACTCAACACTGCGATAAATTTTTATTCGTATTTCCTTTCTTTTAATCGTAATGATATTTTTTTTTTTTAATTGGACCCAAAACCACGCTGCGAAAAATGTTTCTTTCCGCTTTCTTTAAGGTTTCTTTAGGACGTAGAATGTTGGAAAGTAAAAAAAACATCTTTCATTTTCGAACAAAAGCAAAATTTGCTACATATTTTTTGGACAAAAAATTAAATGATTTGTAACAAGGCGAATTTATATAAGGTGATGTTACTAGATCAGCTCAGCCTCACGGCTCCGAAAGTCAAATTGAAAAATTTTGTTTGAATTTCCATACACACTCTAACAAATTTTGACAGTTTATGCCGCCAAAGCAAAAACAAAATGCATGTAAATTCTTGTGCGCCTTGATTTCCAAGTTACGAGATTTTTCAAAGGCTTTTCAAGACTCTTTCAAAATAATTTTTTCAGTACTCGGAGTAAAGGCTTGTGGAGACTTTTTACATAAGTTATAACGGAGGCTCATTAGAAAATTAGCTAAAAATTAATTGCGGTGTGTAAGGGTGCGTTCAGAGAGAAAGCCCAGCGGTGAAGCTGAACGAAGCGAAGCGGAGCTTTTCTCATGGACTTGGTTGCAAAGATACTCAGTGAAAAGAGGCGAAAATATTTGCTCAATTTTATTCAAAATATTAGTTGTAGAACTCGTTTTTATTTGAATATTTTGATATCTTGAATATCTGCTGCATCGTGAAGCTGAAACAATAAACTGAAAATTCAAAATCAAAAACTATTATGCTTTCAGCTCGAAAACGTTTCTGAAAGAGCGTTCTGTATGAACACTTCCATATCGCTACAGTAATTTGAAAGCTTCACTCAGTTCGGAACGGCTTCGCTCGGCTCGAGTCCGCTTTCTGTGTGAACGTACCCTTGTCCTGCAAAAACTGCTCAAATGAAGGAGGAATTATATTTACTAAATCACGACGACATCACTTTTCTTTTTTCAATTTTTAAGTAATGGTAGCAGATTCACAAAATGTTATCACACTAGAACGGTGAAGGGCACCGCTTTTTTAAGCTTTTTATAAATTTTTTAAGGGCACATGCAGAGTAAAAGCTCTCTCTGCCCATCGCTGCACTAGAAATATAGAAATTAAAGCTTCAACAGAAAGCTTAGCTTTTTAAAACTGGCATAAAGTTGTACCGAAAAAGTGAACGCTTCTTCAGAGAGGTCAGATGATTATGATGAGTTATAAGTGTGCCATACTCCTTTACGAAATATATATTAACTTCTGACTAACTATAACTACTTAATTGAAAAGTCTTAAAAGATAAATAGTGAAAGCTTCAAATGAAAGTTCAGTTGTTTACAAAAGCTTGCAAACTGAAACGATTGGATGCTTCAAATATGCATATTTAAGATACACGAAGGGCAGAACGATTAGTAAAAAAATAATTGAAGTAGGTCCACTCGATTAGTTCAAGAATTCGAATATCCATTGGGCCAGTATCAAATTAGGTAATGGGTGGAAAGTTAGTGGAAGCGGGAAATGGGTGTCGGGACCCATGGACTATTCTGGCGTTGTACTAAACGAGCATTCGACCTAGATACTAGGCTCAAGTTTCAGGGAGTTAGCAGGGTAGTTGGAGTATACGTACGGTGACCATTCGTACCGTTTTTGGCGGGACACTACCGATTTTGAGAAAATTGTCACGCTGAATATTTTTTAAAAGTCGGAACGTATAAGTGTCCCGATTTTTCATATATGTACCGATTAAATCCCGATTTTCAGTATTTTCTTTATTAATTTAATAAGAGTCCCTGTACTCTGGCACAGAAAAATTGTTTCGTACAAACGTGGCAACACTTTTGTTATCACAAAGGGCGTAGAATATAAGGGAGCCATACACATAGACAGCATCCTTATTTTTTATAATCTTTGGTTATGTTTTTTTTTCTGTCAAACTGGTACTCTCGCTATGTTGCAGTCTATCATTGTTGTCTAAATTTTTTTTAAGTTTTTGTAATTATTTGTTAACTTGAATTTGGTGAAATTATCAAAAATAATACTAATTACAAACGTATTTGTTTCAAAGCATACCGACTCGTTTGTAATTGACGCTTTGCTCGTTGCTATGCTCGTCGCTTTGCTCGCCGCTCCACTATGCGTCTAGCCTTAGTCAGAATTGCCCTGTTATGCTGAATGCACCAGCCGAAAAATTTGATTCTACAAAGATATTTTTTTAGGACATCGATCCAGCCTTTAGTACAATTCTGGGCAAATATCCACCACCTGACTTCAGTTTATTCGGTGTAGCATTGTTCGAACTAATAGGGTGTTGTGGTCGAACCGAAGAAAAAAAATTATTTGAGTGCATTTGATGAAATGGTTGCTAGGTCCCACTTCACGCGTTACTTATACCGGTATGTCCTACGAATCTTTTTACCAGTATTTACACAAGACATAATATTCCCATAAACTCTAGTCTCGTAGCTTACCACAACTAACCTTTGCTAATGGCTTTTGTGCGCCCTGCAAGACGACCATCACCCTAATATAAACTCAAAATATAATACGCATCAGCAGACATTTCTAATTAAAGTTACATAAAAAAGCGAACAATTTCTGTGCCTTGTTGAGCGCATATTTATGATTACATGCGCACGTTTCATTGAATGAACTTCATTACCGCTGTAGCCCAATTGGTTTTAGTACAATTTAGCTCGACTAATTTAACTTTATGCGACAAAAGAAGAAATTGCGAAATCGTCAGATGTGTCCCCTCATTTAGCAAGAACAATTCTACAGCGGCTTTGCTCCTTGAGATTTATGCATACTATATGTAATGTAAAAAATATTGTGTGTGTATGTGTGTAAAAAGTGTATAGGTATCCATATGTTTGGGAAAAAAGACGTTCTTATAGCCACATACAACTGCTTACACTTACATACATATATTAGCCTCTCGTGCAATGGTGTCATGCGTGAATTTGACTTTTATGATGCGCTGTAAAATGCAAAAATCCATTTTAAGTATTATAAAATTTTAACAAAATTTATGAGCCATTGCATCAATTGCTGCACATCACAGCGACATCGCGCAGAGTCTTGTTGATGATACTAGCAAAAGCACAACAGCAATAACAGCGGCGGCAACAACAGGCGACACTAAACTCGCCGGTGGCATATGTTGCATCAATGCCACACTTTTTATGAGTTCAACAACCCAACCCAACCGCCGGCGTTGCAGCGCATTGAGCTGCTGCTGGGAGCTGTCATTTCCATAGATTGGATTCGCATAGCGGCGGTTGCTTTGATTCCCATATATATTTTTTTCTCATTATTGTAAGTGTAAGTGTGTGTACTTGAATGTAACTGCTGTGAAGAATTCTGCAATGCAAGATAAGAAGAATGCATTATTTTTTTTTTTGTTACACACTATAATGTTTTAAAATCGATGCAGCTGTAAACCAGCTCTTCTACAAAATAATTAATATTTATTGATTGCAATTTTAATGACTGCAACACCATGAAAGAGTGTTGTACGAAGGATTAAACTTTTTCCATAACGTTTTACTTTTGTTAACTTAATTTCGGTTCATAATATTTTGACATTTTCCCTGTTAGTTGGTATCCCTCAAAAAAAAAAAAAAACCATTTTTATTTCTTGATTTTTTGTCAGCACTCATTTTTTTATGACGCTGACTGGCGACGCACAACGAGCTAATTCTGCACTTCACCCACTTATCTACATGCCCGGACATAACTTT